ATAATACTGTTTAGACATTAATTAATACCTTAAAATTAAGGTCATTAACTTTTAGCAGTATATATAAGAAATACAATGTGATTGAAGAACATATCATGAAATATCAAAAAAACTCCTTTTCTTTTTATGCTGACTTTTTCTTATGTTTTGGTTTCTCTTTTATTTTCTCAACCAGAATTTCAGTGCAATCCCTCCGTTTTCAATAGGACTTCATAGAATTTATAGTTGAGTACTACATCTTTATTTCAATATATTTGCTCCAAAAGTTTATCCACCAAAATTTTTGTTAAATCCAAATTTGCAAAATTTAAAGGGAACTCAATGAAAGAAATTTTTTTATATATGTATATTAGTTTAGGATTTAGTGTCTTCCAATATCTCAAATCTAAAATTTTAAATAAATATAATCATAAATAATGTAAAGAATATGTAATGGTGTTTTAAAGAAAAATACTGTCATCCAATTATATATAGCAGATAAAGTCCCAAAGAGAAATTTAAAGAACAAATCCATCATGCTGAACCTTCATGTAATTTAAAACACCATAAGTCAAGCCATATTTGTATGATGGTCAAGGGTGAATTAGTTTAGCATAAAATGTTTGACTAATCTGAAAGATCTGAAAGAAACAAGATGGCATGCTTTCCCAATGAACAGCTTGCTTTAATCGCATTTTGACAAGAACTGTTTGAGAGAGAATTATGACTTTTCTATGATAAATTTTTCTATGATTTAAGAAGAAAATAAAGAGAGAGACAAGAATAGAATCAATGAAATGAAACCAGACCTGGGAGAGATCAGATAATTGACATAAATGTTACAAGCAGAAATTTCTTGATGCAAGTTTGTCCCCTTGTAATGTGATTTTCCAGCAATCAACTTGAAATATAAAGACAGAAATCCTTTTGGGCACAACTGCAAATCAAGGATTGAAAACAAAAAAAAAAAAAAAAAAAACATAAATCTCAATGCAGCAGCGATAAACAAAACATTTGCAATTATCAATCAACAAGATTGCTTTTAACCTTAAGATGGTAGCTACTAACTAAAATAGGAAGTTCAACAAAGCATAAACACCCTTTTTTCCCCCTAATGCGAGAAGCACAAATACTTTCTATCAAGAATTGAGGTGTCAGGAGCAATACAACTTTAACGTGGAATAATATATTATTTTGTAATCTTCATAAATTAATTACCAAAAACCACTGATTTGCTATCGAAACGTAAAAATCTGCTTTCACTGTGTAAGGGTACATCAGTACAGCCACGGGTGAAAGAAACGAGCAAGTTCAGGTGATGTTCACATTGTCAATTAAAAACAAGTCACATTTTTAAATATTAACCTTGAATGCAAAATACAAGTGCTTTAAATGACAGGCACAAGTAAGTAACCCTCCACCCAATTCTGATATTCAAAGCTAAAGCTGTAAATTTCAATGTTCTACCCAATTATGGCTCCAATTTGAAACTCCTTTAATTGGTCAGATAAGCAGGAAATAAAATAAAAGGATGGGAAAGGGACTAGTGAGGGACACTAACAACAAGATTAAGGTAAGGGGAAAATAAAACTACTCAAAGGACATCCATTTTGTAAGCACCAAACCAAAATAGTCCATGAATAATTACAGCAGAACCCTAATAATTAAGAACTAATAGTGAAATTACCTTGAAATTTATCACCTTGTGTGATTATCCCAAATGTTTCTGCAGTCTCACGAATCATTATACCACTCACCCCAGTCATAGTAGTTAACTTACACTCAGCCACTGCCAGGTAACAGAGAGAGAGGAAAAATGGTATGTAATAAACAAATGAATAAAATTAAACAATGTTAAGGACTTTCAAAATAGTTGGAAAATAAATCCATTATTGCTACTTACTACGTCATTAACTCTGTTTATGCTTAAGGTCAGATATATAAGAATTAATAAATGGATATTCTTTGATTCATTAGAAAAAATTTCAACAAACTGAAGCATAGTGGTTAAAGCTTAAAGCTTGGAAAGGATATCCTCTATCTCTGGACCACTTTTAATTTAGATAATTCATAATGGGATGAGACAGCTATGTACGAACCAACTACAGGCTTTCTTAACAAGAAATGACCCCATAATTCCAGATATACACTCCAACTTAGTAAGAAATGCTAACAGTTCTCTAAAAAACTATAAAATTAAAGACACCCACTAGAAACTGAGAACTGACTTTTATTCATGCAATCCCTATATCCATTAAAGAGCCATGTATCTTCTAATGGTTACATAGTTCTAAACTGCAACAGAAACTTAGCTCTACTCATGCAAAGTAGCCTACCATGCCCATTAAAGAGCCATACATCATCTTATGATTCGATTATTGAGGGCTGCTTCAAGAAAGTAGATAAACATAAATAAAATTTTATTCTCAAAAATAGATAAACCCATATGTGCATCCAATAATGCAAATTTGCTTCAGAGATGTCTGTGCTCTAACCTAGAATAATAGCACCATGTAGATCAGCACCAAGAAGACATTGTGCCAATTGATTTTTCCTGCAAGATTTAGAGAAGTTTGGTTATAGCATTGGAAAAACAATAACTTCCCCTTCAAAATAATTGGTATGAATATGATGACAAATCAACTTAATCAGAATCAAAATGATATCTCAAAACTCCAATCCACCCACTACATCCCCCCAACAAAAAAGGAGAAAAGAAAAAAAAAAAAAAAAAGGATAAAAGATGGAGATTGGGTAGAAGAGGTAAATGTAATTCATTCTGAAAAATGCAGTTCTTAAAATCAATGAAGAAGAGCATCTCACCCAGTAGTTTTGAGAAGTTGCGCCATATAAGCATTCCACATTTCATGCATTGGCTTAAACATATCAAACCTGTACCTCAAAGCAAACCAACAAATTTTAAAATAAACTACCCTATGAATAAAGGAGGAAGAATTAACAAAATAAAAATTGGATAGAACACCCAATAATAAGAATACTAATAAAAAGAAACAACTAGAATCTATTCAGCATAATCTCTCCATCTCTTGCTCTTATTTTCCTTCAGTTTTAAAGGACATTCAACAGAATACCCATTCCTATTCACCTAACACGGATTTATTTACCAAGATACTAAGGATTCAACCAATTAACTAAAATCAACCAAGAGATTCAAGATGCAACATGGCAGGAAAATCCAAACATGGTGACACGTATAAGATTAAAGGCAAGAAAGAAGAAACTAGCAGGATGCCATCTCCTTGATGGCTTCACACCCCCACCCTCAACCTCAAACCAATAAAAAGGGAAGAAACATGAACCAATATATAAGGCAGAAAACTCACTTTTGAAAAGCCTGAGGCAAATCAAGCATTCCACATTTCTTAAGCTGCTTCATAGACATATGCTTTTTAGAGCGCTTTGAATGGCTTTTCAAAGCCCTGATTTGAGAACCAGTAGACATGCCACGACCTTGAACAAAATTATCAAGGAGGATCCAATTGTCAAGTTTAATTCTGGATCCTTGCATGTACTTCTTCCCTGAATCACCACTTTGAAGAAGCTCATGCAAAATCTTGTCAACCGTGCTGCCATTTCCACCGGAAAACTGCAACAAACAAACATAACATAAATCATCCTCTCTTAATTGCAAATCTTTAAACATACAAACATTACCTTCATATCAGTTGGCAGTAAACTCTCATGTATAGGATATTGGAGCTGGGAATATGCTGGACCACTTTCTTCTACATCTGTATATAATAGTTACATTATCATCTTAATCAAGAAGTTCATATACATATCTTTTCTCCAAAAATGTTAACAAATCGCGAATATACACTAAAAACTTGGCCAAATTGGTACCCACTATCCACTACTACTAAACGTTGATTCTGGGGTCAAGGTCTGGTTCAATTGTCTGCAATAGCTAAAAACTCTAACGTATTTGCACATTTAAGAAAAATTCACAAATTTACAAGAGTACCTTGTGATGGGGCATGAGTTCGTAAAGAAAATTTTCCTGCATGTAAGAAACAATGGAAATCTGAGTTAAGCCAAAAGGCAAAAAATTTTGGTAATTAACCGTGTCAGCCCTGTTGGAGAGGTGTTAAGGTAAAGCAGAGAAGACATGAATTACGACCTTTCTTAGACGAAGAAATCAATGGAGTGGCAATGGACGTGTCTCTTCTTTGCAGTGGGGATGGAACGGGAGAACTGATACTCGGAGTTTCTTTTCCATCTTTCCCAACTGGAGGCTTTTTGGTCTTCTTTTGCAATTGAAGTAGCTCGGCTTCAGCGGCAAACCTTCGTTCCAGTGCCTCTAGAGTGCGCTTTCTTTGATTTTCAGAGCCCGAAGTGGTAGCCATTGCTGCTAAACTGGTTGAGCTGAAGCGAAAATCAAACGAATGTGTAGATTGAAGGACTCCCAAATACTCCTCGAATTTGCTGTGAAATCATTGAATGGACTGGTTCAAACAAAATTTAGCTGACGGCGATGTTGTGTGGCAGAAAGAAAACAAGAGGGAGATCAGGGAATTCTGGCGCACACCGGCTGCGGCAACAAAA